ATTAAAAAATGAGAAACATAATGCTATAAAAGAAAATTAAATAATAATATTTTTAATTGAATCTTTTTTTAGAAAATTAGACTAATTGAAATAATAATTTATGTAGAAAATTTATTTATTTTTCTATTAAGAAATTTATTTCTCTTTTATCATGCTTAATATTTTATTATATTATTAGATAATATGAAAATACATAATTTATTGTGGTTTCCAATTTTGTTAACGTATATAAATTTGTTTTCGTAAATCTTATTTTATTTTAATTATTATTTTTAAAATTGACTTAAACATCTAGTTCAATTGATATAAACACGTTAGTTTCAACAAGTTAAAAATAATTGGCTTATATAAGGATTAATAAAAATTTATGAAACAAATCTAAAATTGATAAAAATATAATTAATGTTCCATTAGTTTAATAAATAAAAATTATAAAATAAATTATATATAAATAGATACATCAATAACACATGAGATGAATTACTTAGAATACATTATACCATCTATCTTCGACGACTAAGAAAGTATTTATATATAGATGGTTTATATCTATTGTAATTATGTTGGGGTAGAGGGTGTCACATCATACAACACATACAACATACAGAGGTTGGGGGTCAATCTCACTACCAAATAATCTCACTCTAATAATCTTTAATTCTTCTCCCTGTTCTTGAGAGTATAGAGTGTAAAGAGGAATTGAAGAGTGTAAAATGTAAACTGATAAAATGATTTATTTTAATTTATAATTTTTATTAAATATGTATTTTATTTTTATTAAATAATTGTTGCAAGATGATTTCATGGGTCAATCAAATAAGACACAGTCCAATTTCCGATCAAGCTATATTTGACTAGTTGATCTGGTTTGATTTTGATAACCATGGACAAAAAAACTCTCTTCTTATTACAAATATTTATTCTTTCATTTGTCTTTAGTCGAATTCTTTTTTATCATCAAGAAGGACCTAGAAACTTTATAGAAATTGGTGACAAGTGTTACAAATTGGGAGACATTTGAGAAGATGACTTGCAAACCCTTTAAACCTAAACTTTTGGATGTATCCATATTGCAACATGCATCACACCTTTATAACAAAGAAGAGTTTGTTAAAATATGTCAATTTTCCAAGTTACACTGAAGGTTGAATTGAGATTAGTGACAAAATACTAAGATGGTGACCAGAAAAAGGTCGGTATCTACAAGAAAAATACTAAATAGCGACCGAAATTAGCGACCGAAATTTTTCGGTCGCTATTTTGCGACCGAATTAGCGACTGATTAAAATAGCGACCGATTTAGCGACCGAAATTTTTCAGTCGCTATTTTGCGACCGAATTAGCGACGGATTAGGGTGGTAGCGAGAAAATCGGTCGCTAAATCGGT